GAGAAGAACGTCCGAGAATTTGATGCCTTTGTTGAAACCCTGCAGTAAGAGTGTCCCGAGTATCTGCAGCATCCCCTTTCTATGGACCCAGCAGAGAACCTCCTACTCCTCAGCAGCTCCCTGCCTTCCTGCTGTCTCTGGCCAGGTGAAAGACATTGTGGTTCCCTTTGGACCTCCTGGAGACTCATGGCAGCAGTCAGGCCCAGTGCCAGACTTTGGGAGGACTCTGGCTATGGCTGAAGAGCTTCAGCAGGGACCATCCTCAGCTGCTTCACAAAGGGTGTCATCCTGTTCCTTCTGCTGCCAGCCTCCTGCCTGGTCTGCTACCCTGCAGATGGCCCTGCCTGCTTGTCCTTACCATCAGCCACCTGACATTGCAGCTGGTGGCTGGGAGACTGGGCAAGGCAGAAGGAGGAAGGAGACCCCGCTGGGCAAAGGAGGGCTCTGTGTCACCAGTAGATCCTGGACCACCCCACTCTCCCTCCTTCTTTCCCCCTCCTTTCCCTCCATCTTAACTCCTGAGAGTCACAGAAAGGTTCTTTCCTCCCTCCTCACCCTCCCTCAATTGCTGCTGCTTGGATATAGGACATGGTAAATATTTATTACTTTCAGAGAAATCAGATATTTTATAGGAAAAATATGTTTGGGGTTAGCAGTGTCACTGGGGAAGGATGAGTGCCTCCTGTGCAGATTCCTCAGAACCTGCTGCTCTGAGGATCTTCCCTTGCATCCAAGGAGAAGATCGGGAGTGGGGCTGGCAGGCGCAGAGTGGCCGGCTCAAGCTCCTGTGTGGAGCTGCACTGACAGCAGGCAGGCTTTCTCTTGCTTGCTGTGTGCTCCTGCTGAGATCTTCTCTTGACACAGCATCTGCAAAGTGACTGGCTCTTCATGTGGCCCAAGAAATCCCGGTTATGTTCAATGTGATGACTCCTCAAGACACATGGTGCCCAAGGGAGCACTGTGTCCTGCTGCTCGAGTCCCTGAGCCTAGAGCAGGACTGGGGAGCTATTCCTCCCTCCCTCTAATTCCAGAGTCTGTATACGGCCCTGGGTTTACAAGATGGATTGGTTCCCTTTTGAGAAACCAAAGCTGAGCTTATGGTTGACTTAAACCTTCAGGTATTGTTGCTTGAGTAAGTCAAGTGCCTCTGCCAGCCTGCCCTGTTCCTCTGGCCCCTGGCTCCTCACTGGCAGCAGCTGTTATTCACTGGAGCAGGTGGCTCACAACTGCTTGTTAGTAATCTGCATGTAATCCTGGAGCATTTCCCCTGTGCATGCTTCTGCTGCCACAGAGAAATGTGCCCAGCAGTGGTGGCCAGATGGTACTGCAGCCTTTGGATCAGGTACATTGGCCTACTGAACCAGATTTGCTCCCAGAGCCAGCACTGAGTTGGGGGAGGGCATGGATTCTTGGCAAGGCTCAGCCAGCCAGCGGCCTTTGTAGGCAGCAGCCTTTGTGTCCCAGACCTATCAGGGAAGAGATCAGGGAAGCTGAGCAGAGCATCCTTCAAGGTGGCCTGTTCCCTTCAGTCCTGCACAGTGGAAAAGATGGGCTCTAGACCAACTTCTGCAGCCAGGCTCAGGCTGGGACCAGGTGGCTGTGAGGCCCCTTCTCCAGTGCTTTGTTGGGAAATGAGAGTTACACTTGGAAATATAATCAAGAGATTTCCAATAAAGTTTTCTGTACTTTACAGTTTCCTATTCCAAATGTGGTCTGGACTAGTCCACTGTTCCACCTCTCTATAGGACTGGGCCACAGGCCAGGCGGTGGTGGCGCACGCCTTTAATCCCAGCACTCGGGAGGCAGAGCCAGGCGGATCTCTGTGAGTTCGAGGCCAGCCTGGGCTACCAAGTGAGTTCCAGGAAAGGCGCAAAGCTACACAGAGAAACCTTGTCTCGAAAAACCAAAAAAAAAAAAAAAAAAAAAAAAAGGACTGTGCCACCATCAGGCTCCACTAGAAGGAAGGGTGGAGCCTGAATTTCAGAAAGTCTTGACTGTCAGGGCTGCTTGAGTCTTGGGGCTTGACCAAGTACCTAACAGTCTTAGCTCTCTAGAGCCTTGTTCTGTTCCCCAGGACAGGGCCATGTGCTTGAATATTCAGTGACACAAAGTGCGTGAAGAACCCTTGTAAAATCTCCTTAAAGGGTGGGCTCTTGTCACCAGCATTCTATCCCCTTCCATAGCATACTCCCACCTCCTGCAGGACATAAACTACGCAGGGAGAAAGACGAGCAGCAGCAGATACGACAAGGAATGGTGGCTGATGGAGTGAAAGGGGCTGTGGCTGAGCAAATGAGGAGAGTGGGGGAGTCAGTGGCCTGTCAAGTTCAAGCCAGGGCAGTGGACTCAGAGGAGTGGTGAAGAACAGGAGAGCCCCTCAGGGATTAGGACTGACACACATGCAGCCCAGCTATGGCTCCAGCCTTCTGGTAAAACCAGCCACTACCTCCTAGTGCACATTGCAGAGCTGAAGGCAGAGCCAGCGAACAGATAATCCTAGATGCAAAAGTGAACTAGATAATTGCTGTGTGAGTTCCCCTGTACCCGCACAGTCAAGTCAGCCCCAAGACAAGAGAATGGGACCATCAAGAAATTCTAAGTCAGCCCACTCTGCCAGTAAAAGCCTGGGTGCCCTTGTAAATTACATCTGATACAGACAGTAACACTTGAGGACACAGCGGTCCAACCCTGGGTCAGAAACAGTAACATCCTTGCTGAGCCACCTTTGGCTGGAGTCTCCAAAAACAGTGCTCAGCTGCTCCATGACCAGCAAGGTATCTGGTCTTAACCTATACCTGCGAGACCTCCTGTTGCTAAGGTTTTGTTTAGCTAGCACCTAAGGAACTGCAGAGGCCCTGCCAGGGGCGCAACCCAAGTAAACAGCTCTCCCTGTCTCTGGCCCTGCTGTTCCCTGGCTCACTGCCTCAAGGTTGCAAAGTGTCACCCGGCTTACAGCTGAGCAGAGCTAGCAAGAATGGAAACTGCCTAAGTCTTGTGTCTCAAGGCGCCTGGAATCAGGCCACAGTTGTGCAATGGAGCTGCTTCCGTGAAGCTCAGAACCAGTGTTTTATAACACTGACTGTCTTAACACTGGCAGAACCAGCAACTCTGGCTGCTGCCCTTCCCCTAAAGAGGAAAAGCAGGCCCATATCCTGGGCTACCATAACCTCCTGATAGCAATAGGCAGATATTTGGAACCTACCCTTGACAACTGTGACAGGTAAAATTCTGTCTTCCTCCCAGTTGCAAGCCATTAAATTGCCATAAAATACACATAAAAGTGTGAGCTTGGTGGTAGTGGCGGCGGTGGCATTTGGGAGGCAGAGGCAGGCAGCTCCTCTGAGTTCTAGGCCAGCCTGGTCCACAGTACAAGTTCCAGGACAACCAAGGCTATATAGAAAGAAACCCTGTCTCGAGAAAAACAAAATAAACAAAAAAGTGTAATGGTACAAGCTTATAATCACTACACTCAAAAGGATCACGAGTTTGAAACCAGCCTAAGATTTATCATCTTGGGTGTAGTGGTGCACTCCTTTGAACCAGCACTGAATGGCAGAGGCCGGGGATCTCTGAGTTCAGTTCCACAACAGCTGCATCCCCAGCATGAAAATAACCATTTCAACCTTTAAAACCAAGCAAAATCTACTCAAAAGAGGGAAGGAGAGCAGACTTCATATCCTGTGTGGCTAGGTGGCAGTGGAGAGTCTAGCCTCCCAGGCCGAGAGTCAGGTTAGGGAGGTGAAAGAAATGAGGAAAATTGAATCTCAGCTGGCTGCCACGTGAGGCTGGGATGATCTCTGGTCACTTTCCCCATAGACAATATTTCTAGTCCCAGAGGAACCAGTTTTTGATAAATGTATATAATCCCAGTTGGAAACCAATCCACCAATAAGAGTGGGTAAGAATCATGACTCAAGAGCCCAAGAGCTGAGCATGATGGTTTATGCCTTTAATCCCACATTCAGGAGGTGAGTGGATTTCTGTTGAGTGTGAGGCCAGCCTGGTCTACATAGTTCCAGGAGTCAGACCCTGTCTCAAAAATAAACAAAAAAATTCAATCCCTAATGTAAAACCCATCCCGATGTCCAACATGTTCACTCTAGTTCTCTCCCTTTTAAGTTCCCTTCACACAATCAGCTGGGAGAAGAGGCCCTGGTCCTATGATACAACACAAGGTAACCTGCTGGAATGCTGCAGATACCAAAATATGAATGGTGACTTGGTACTTCCTTGCCCAGAGAATGATCAAACAAGGAAAGGGAACAGACAGTTTCACAGAGCACTGTCTTCCAAGCATAATACGGCTCTTAGCTTTTTAAAAAATTTGTATGTGTGGATGTATGTCTGTGTAGAATGTGTGTGTAGTGCCCAGAGAGGTCAGAAGGGAGCACTGGAACTGGAGTTAGAAATGGCTGTAAGCTGCTGTGTGGGTGCTGGGAATTGAACCCAGGTCCTCTGGAAGAGCACCAAGTGCTCTTCACTCCTCACTCTCTAGCTCCCAGCCCTTATTCTTTAACCAGAGCAGGTGTTACATGCATGTGACCTTCAACACAATAGAGCCCTAGGGCCAGAGAGATGTCGTCACTGGTGAGGGGTTTGCTTCAAGTCTGATAGCCTGAGCTTTTCCTCGACCTACATAGAAGGGAAGGGCAAAAGCCAATTCACACAATAATCGCATTGAAAATGTGAAGTGAGGGCACAGAAGGAGGCAGTAGGTAGGGTCATTAGATCTTCACTGGAAACCCTACACCTGCCACTCTCCACTCTAATTCTGGCCCACTTGCAGGTGATCTTGGAAGACACTGGAAGTGGGGTGAGTCCTGACACAGCTGCGTGGGGTCACCATGGCAGTAAGGACCCAGTGGACTTTGAGTGTTTGCTCAGCTTTCCATAGGAAAATAAGATGGACTCGGGAGGGACGGCCTGAGGCCCTCTTTCCCGGCCACAGCACACTCCCACTCGGTTCTGGACTCGAGCCTTACTTCCTAAACAGCCAGGTGGACATTTTCCACTTCCATTTTTATTGAAATACAAAAAGTGCAAATGGTGAAATACATGATTGGTGCCAAGGAAATCATGGTAAGTGTGAACACTGGATTCACAGTAAGAACGCCCCCAGCTACAGACTGACAGAGCAGGGCCAGGAGAAGGGCAAGAGAAGGCCCAAAAGGCTCCTCAGCAAATGGAGTGTAGCGACACTTGATACAAAAAGGTGGGTGAAAGCAGAGTGTGGCCCAGGCCGGGCCAGGAGGACAGAAGCCGCACTTGAGGCACCAGAGACCTGCCACACAGTGGTACAGGAAAAAGCCGGCGAGGTCAGGCCTGGCCTCGTCTGCAAGGTGGTCAGTGCAGATTCCGCAGCACCCGGTACCATCTCTGGAGCTGTCAGGCCTGGCCACACCTGGGGGCAGGGTCACTGCAGGTACTTCCCTATCACTATGGGGCCAACTTCCAGAAGAGGGTCTCAAGTTTCCACTGGGAGGAGAATGAAAGCTATCAGCTACCAAGGCTCAGGCTTGCTGAAAGACAACAGGACCCTGTGGCCCACCATCTTCCCTCAAAGGAGCTGTTAGAACCTTCCTGGCAGGGTGATTTATTAGTAAAACCTCTGTCCCTCTTAGGGGCTTCTGAGCTCCTGCCCTCCAAGAGTACCCAGGCAGGACGTGAGAGCCACCATAGATTCTGAAGCAGTGGCCCCTCTAGCCACAACAGGGACCAGAGGGACTCCACACCAGAAAGTCCCACCATAGCCACTGGCTGAGGATCCGTGCACATGAGAACGGAAAGAAGACATGGAGGGCCAGGGCTGCTGTCACTGATACTACTCGACACTGGAACTCTCCCGGGAGAGGACCGTTTCAACAGCTGCTCAGATTCTGGGTTCTGCTGTCTAGGATGCCAAGTGTGGCAGAAATGGGGGATAGGACACACTGGGGGCAGTACCACTTGGGGAGGAACAGACCCAGAAGGCAGAAGAGACAAGCCAGCTCTGGTCTTGTCATCCCTATTAGTAGGAAGGGCAGACATAGGGAACTTGTACCCAGGCCAAAACTCACTTCTATAAAGCATAGCAACTGACCAGAAAGGGAGGTACCTTAGCACAGCCAGCCCAAGCCAAGGAGCTCAGCTGTCCCACTTCCTAGCAATCAGGAAAGAGAGGACCAGCCCCCATACCAGCACAGCCGGCAGTGATTTAGTCTTCTACAGTTGCCAGGGAAACAGGCAGGAAAAGGGGGAGGGGTTACTGGGGCTCAATCCTAGAAGAGCCAAGCCCAGTCTGGAAAGCCCAGCAACCAAAGAGGCAGTGAGAGGTATAAGGCAAAGAAAATGTCTTACGATAACAGAGGCCTCCAGGGCTGGTGAGGTGGGCTGGGCAGAGGGAGAGGAGGGACTGCCCAGTTAGTGGGCTCCAACTTCCATCTCCTGGGGCTTCAGGGCCCCTTCCTAGGCAGGAGCCCCGGACTCCAATAAGGTTACTACCAGGAGGCCAAGTCCAACTGGGGCTGCCAGAGAAGGGGCTGGAGGTGGGGGCTGAGCTCAGACACCCTGGGCATCTGTGTTGTTGGGGAACAACTCCCCTTGATGATCCAGGAGGAACTTAGTGAAGGTGTTGATGGGATTAATGGCCTTGAGAGTGATGGCAGCATCCTTGGCCCACAGCAGGTTAGGGCCGAAGACTACAGCCAGGTTAGTGTTGGTCATCTTGTTCTGGTCAGAGTGGGCAGATACCTGTGGAAGGAAACGGGCTACAGCTAGAATCTATGGCCCCTGCCTTACTCCCAGCAACCATATCCAGAGCATCCAAGCAGAGACAACACAGCCTCCCCCGTCATCAGGTGAGCAGGGGAGGCCAAGGCAGTCTCACCTGCACCAGGAAGGCCGTCAGGAAGCGAAGCACCTGATAGTTCTCCTCTGGCAGAGTCTGGAGAACCTGCTCTGTCATCTCCACTCTCTGGCTTTCGTCAGTATCTGTGAGGAGGGGAGGCCCAGGTTACAGAGCAGAGGACTAGCTTAGGAAACCCTGCCATCAGACTAGTGGGGAACCCCAACCGAACTTGCTGGGAGCTGCTTATGCCCACAGCCTGCAGGGGAGGGTAGGTAGATGTACGGCCACATACACATCCCTGAGCTCAGATCCAACTCTGCAGAGGATCTACACAGCTGGGGAGGAAGGAGGGAACTCACTGAGGAAGCCCACAACGTGGGGGTAGAGGTCAAAGGTTAGCAAGGGCTCAGGAAGCTCCCGAAGGAAGGTCTTGAGGATGACTGCTGGCAGGTGCAGCTCATTGTACTGGTCAAAGTCCACGGGCAGCCCTTTGTGAGGGAGAAAGGATGAGACCAAGCCGGCGGCCAGCAAGCCCTACACCCTTACTATGTCCTTCCACTGCACAAGCTGCCTTTTCCCAGGGTCCCCCTACTGCCTCTTCTCTTCCTCTGTAACAAGGGGATACAGGCTCAGACCATCTGGAGAGCATGAGGGCGGGCACTGGCACACATGACAGTTACTCCCTGCCTCTGAATGATCTGGAACCCAAGGCTGCAGCTCCCGAAAGTGAGGCAGCCAGCCTGGGCAGCCGGGCAGACGGAGGACCTATGTGGTCACTGTTAGCATGCAGCCGGGCAGACAGAGGACCTATGTGGTCACTGTTAGCATGCAGCCGGGCAGACGGAGGACCTATATGGTCACTGTTAGCATGCAGCCGGGCAGACGGAGGGCCTATGTGGTCACTGTTAGCATGCAGGCACATGGACTGGCCTGCCCTTAGGGCCCCGACAGGATCCATTGTCAGCTGTGCACATTTGCTACATTTCCCTACTGCTCACCTCCCATCTCTTTCTCTTCCTTCGTTCTCATTCCCAGGGACCAGTCTCTGCTCCCTTCTCTGCCCCTTCTCTTCCCTCCCTTCAATAAATCACTCATGCGAGCCCTGTTGTATGGTGTGACTCCTTCCCGTTGTTTTAAAAATACAGCAGTCGGTCTAGAGAGATGGCTCAGAGGTTAAGAGCACTGGCTGCTCTTCCAGAGGTCCTGAGTTCAATTCCCAGCAACCACATGGTGGCTCACAACCATCTGTAATGAGATCTGGTGCCCTCTTCTGGCCTGCAGGCATACATGCAGACACAACACTGTATACATAACAAATAAATAAATCTTAAAAAACAACAACAGCCGGGCAGTGGTGGCACACGCCTTTAATCCCAGCACTCGGGAGGCAGAGCCAGGCGGATCTCTGTGAGTTCGATGCCAGCCTGGGCTACCAAGTGAGTTCCAGGAAAGGCGCAAAGCTACACAGAGAAACCCTGTCTGGAAAAACCAAAAAAAAAAAAAAAAACCAACAACAAACACCCCCCCACCCCCACCCCCGTCACACCAAAGGACGTGGAAACTTATGGCAAGAAGTTTCTTCTTGCTTACAGGCCCTCACAGTTACATGTCCCATCCTCTCTCTCTCTCTCTCTCTCTCTCTCTCTCTCTCTCTCTCTCTCTCTCTGTCTGTCTCTACACACACACACACACACACACACACACATGTGCACACATGGTCTGGACGAGCTCTAGGGTCTGGCCCACTCACCCATGTTGTATTTCTGCTGCACTTCCCGTACAACCTGGGTGTTGGCCGACCTCCGGAAGATGCCCTCAGTTGTGAGAGCTGGAAAACAAGGGGGCCTGGTGAGTTTCAGAACTCTGGGTGATGGATCACTTCCCTGCCCTACCAGTCTTGGAATTCCAAGAAGGGTCATTGGGAGTGTACTTTTCTATGCCCTGCCCAGAGTTTCTCAAGGGCAGCTGGGGGACAGGGTAACTTGGAAGGTCAATAGGCCTTGGGCTCCACAGCACTCACCGTGAGCCTGCAAGTAGGCAACCGTCTCCCTGAGCACAATAGGAATGGGCTCCTGGTCCGGGTTCTTCTCCTGGAGGCTGTGGGCAAAGGGGTGAGCTGGGACTCTGCATGCTGGTCCAACCCCACCACCCCGGACCTGCCTAACCTTGGCATACTCACTGCTGCAGTGACACCCCAAACTGCTGATTTGGCAGCGGAGGGCGTGGTGGCATGGGCTTGGGAGCCGTCCCAGGGCTCTTCTGTGTGGATTTGAGGAAGTCGTCATACCTGGGAGAGTAGATGGACCAAGGGTCAGGCCCTCTGGCTCTGCAGTCTTGTAGCCAACTTTATCGAAGTGTTTACTGTGTGATTTCCCATGGATTATTTCATATATCCTCAAAACAGCCCCACTTAATGTAACACAGTGGAAAACAAACCCTTTAAAGAGATTCAGTCAACAGCTGTGACAGAAATGGGGTTGGATTTGGCTCTATCTACCGTCTCTAATCTTGACACTGCCTTACTCATTTCCCTGGCTTCTCTAGGCTCCCTCTTGCCCAGGTTACTCTGCCTCCCACGCAACACACCCACACAACTGAGTAGTGGACACACACACACACACACACACACACACACACACACACACACACACACACACACACACACACACACACCCGGCTTACGAGCCCACCCGCTGCCTCACTTGAGCACTTGGCGAGGAATCCCCAGCTGCTCCAGCTTCACATGCTCATTCAGCTCACTCAGGTAATTCACATAGAAGATCTTCCGTCCAAACTTGAAACTGGAGGCAAAGGGAAGGATCGGGGTCAGCCCGGGCCCCATGATAGGCTGTTGCTCTCCCTGCAGACAGGTATCACCCCAAGCTGGCCACCCTGGGTATCTGCTTGGTACGTGAGGGTGCACACCTGTCGCCTGCTCACCTGATGAGGGGCTTGAAGAGGATAAGCAGGGTTTTGATGAACATGGTTGGGTGCACAATGTACAAGGCCTTGATGTTTTTCTTGTACCTGCAGGACAAGTGGGAAACTTGGGAATAGGTGGAGTAAGGAGCAGGGCTGTTGGGGGCCCTGCCTCCACTGACATGGAATAAGCTTCTGACCAAGAGAACAGCCCAGAGCCCAGAGAGCTGTTGGCCCACAGCCACCCACGCTAGGCTCTGGAGCCCACCCCCATGTCCCAACCCACTTGCGGTCAAACTCCCGGTAGGCATCCCGCAGCCAGCTGAGGGAGGGTTTGTTGTCACTGGTCAGGCCGTGGTGCAGGTAGAGCAGTGTGTAGTCACTCTCCACATACTGGTCCAGGGTGTGTTTCAAGTACCTTCAAGAGAAATGCCCAGGGCTGGAGGTAGCTCCATGGTAGAGTGATTACTAGCATGTGAGAGCCATAGGTTCAACACCCAACATCATAAACACACAAAGAGCCCCGTTCAGACCTGTCCTCTGCACAACAGGTGTGGCCCCTGTTACAACAGAAGCCAGGACTTGCACCATGCTTCCTTCTCCACAGACGCTCCCTCCCTGCTGCCATCTGGCTATGTAACCCACAGCCTCTTTCCTGGAAGGAGGCAGAGGGTAGGGAGCTGGGCCTAATGGAGAAGTAAGTACACAAACAGCTCTCATTTTGAGCAGCAGAATCAGTAGACCTAGGCTCCAAGCTAGGCTGTGTGTCCACAGTTCAAAGGGTTTGACATGTTTTTCTCAGGATCACCCTGAGCCAGTAACGAGGACAGTCACTGGTTATTAGTCAAAGCTTTTAGTGTCTGCCAAGTGCTTCCAATCCATTACCTCATTCTCCCTCATCACAAATGAGCTGAAGTTCACCCCGTTACTAACGAGGGCAATCAGCAGAGGCCAAGCTCTTAGCCAAGGTTTCAGTTTGTGGTGGGGCACAGTGGTGAAGTCCAGCTCCAAGACTGCATTCTAGACCCTGGACAAGAGCTGCCCTTTGTATGTGATTTGTGGTATAGTTTGTAAAACACTGTGTCCATGAAAGGACATCAGGATGACCAGAAGGTCAACTGTTCCAACTCCTAGGCTTTTTTTTTTTCAAGACAGGGTTTCTCTGTGTAGTTTTGGTGCCTTTCCTGGTACTCACTCTGTAGCCCAGGCTGACCTCGAACTCACAGAGATCTTCCTGCCTCTGCCTCCCGAGTGCTGGGATTAAGGGTGTGTGCCACCACTGCTCAGCCCAACTCCAAGGCTTTTTTAATGGACCACAAAGCCATACTCCTCAGGTTCCCTATGCTCACAACAGGGTATGTAGCACCCCAACACACACACACACACACACACACACACACACACACACACACACACACACACACGTTGAACACACTGGGAAGTTTGGAAGAAATAAACAGGGAGAGGGCAGAAATCCCGGGGTCAGACCTCTTAGAAGATGGCCAGTCAGTCCCTTGGCTCTAGTAGGGATGCCACTCCAAGCTGGCCAGGCCAAATGCTAAACACATCCCAGAGGAGGGGAATGTGTGAGGGAGTGCCCCAAGACTTGACTAAGTGCCCAGATGAATGATCTGACCTAGAGACAGTAGCCTAATGACTGGTCCCAGGGTGCAGAGCTGGGCCAGCACAGGTAGGCAGGGCAGAAAGGCTAAGTTACCATAGATTCTGAGCAGTACTAAACTGAGAATAATTTAACTTAGCCCTTATCCACACTAAGCACTCTGTAGTTGACAAAGGGCCATCACATACTAAGACGGCATTTTGCAGCTGAGTGTGGTGGCACACATCTTTAATTCCAGCACTCAGAAGGCAGAGACAGGCGGATCTCTATGGGTTCTAGGCCAGCCTGGTCTACAAAGCAAGTTCCGGGACAGCCGGGGCTGTTCCCCAGAGAAACCCTTTCTCAAACAACAACAACAACAACAAGAGGACGGTGTTTTGCAGTGAGGAAAGCAGCACAGATGACAGTCAAGTGACACGGCCATCCATGATGCATGCCGTGACCTTTGGAGTGCAAGAAAATGGCGCCGGTCAGAGGCTGGACAGTGCTCACGGTCCTGACCGTGTAAGAGTATGTTCAAGAGCATTTCCTACGGAAACAGAGGGAAGCAGAGACATTCTTGTAGGACACTGCTCATTCCAGTTTTATTATGGAAAAAATAACAACTGAGCAGCCAGCAAATTGTCCAATATCAGGAGATTGGCTAAAGAAACCATGGGACATCTATAAATAGACTATCTCACAGGATGCTCCTACAGACAGGATTAATCTGTGAAGTCAGGCGTCAGAACAGTGGTCACCCTTGAGCAGACACTGGAAAAGCAAACTGGAGACCAGGAGGGGGGCACTGATAGGTTTGGAGTTTCTGTTTTGTTTTGTATTTAGGTTTTTTGAGACAAGGTCCCACTCTGTAGCTCAGGCTGGCCTGAAACTCAAAATCCTCCTTCATAAGCCTCCCAAGTGCTGGGATTGCAGACATGTATCATCAAATTCACCAGAAACTGGTGTAGTGTTATATATATGTGGTCCCAGATACTCAGAAAGCTGAGGCAAAAAGGTCATTAAGCCCAAGTGTTTATGTCAGCTTGGGCAACAAAATGAGAGCTGTCTTAAAAGAAAAAAGAAAGTAGTACACAATTTGTTTACTTTTCTATATGCATATTATATGTAAATAACATGTTTTGTTTTGTGTGGGGTTTTTGGGGGGGCAGTGGGAGAACAGACAGGGTTTTACCGTGTAACCCAGTCTGGCCTGGAACTCCTATGTAGACCAGGCTGGCCTGGAACTCCTATGTAGACCAGGCTGACCTGGAACTCACTATGTAGACCAGGCTGACCTGGAACTCACTATGTAGACCAGGCTGACCTGGAACTCACTATGTAGACCAGGCTGACCTGGAACTCACTATGTAGACCAGGCTGACCTGGAACTCACTATGTAGACCAGGCTGACCTGGAACTCACTATGTAGACCAGGCTGACCTGGAACTCATTATGTAGACCAGGCTGACCTGGAACTCACTATGTAGACCAGGCTGACCTGGAACTCACAGAGATCACCTGCCTCTGCTTCCCAAGTGCTGGGATGAAAGCACGTACCACTCTGCCCAGCTAAATAATATGTCTTTTTAGGTTGTTTTTTTTTTTTTTTTTCTTTTGAGACAGGTTTCTCTGTGTAACCCTGGCTGTCCTTGAACTCACTCAGTAGACCAGGCTGGCCTCAAACTCAGAGATCCACCTGCCTCTGCCTCCCGAGTGCTGAGATTAAAGACATGTGCCACCAACACCTGGGGTAAAAAACAAAAGAACATCAAAGGATACTTTGAGGAATGTTTTCTACCCAAAGATGGAAGAATTATCCAAGACATCAAATTGAATACAGAGCTCCACATATAGAAAAAAATACAAAGTGGATGTAGCAAAACACAGTGGTTTTCTTTCTGGGTAACAGGTCTGTGAGACTTCATTATTTTATAGGTGTTGTTTTTCCTGTACAACTACTGACATATTTTTAACCTCTCAAAACTGTAATACTCTAAAAATATATATGATGGAATTTCATTGTTACCCATAACAACTCTGTGAGGACACAGAGAACTCAGAGTTCATATAGAACTCAGAGATTTGCCTCCAAGCACATAGCTAGTTAAAATTCAGTGCTCAAATTTAACTGGTCTTCTGAGTCCAAGCTTCAAGCATTTTTCCATTCCAACCCCCTAGATCTGGGTGGGGAGTGGGGAAAAGCCAAGTCTGATGTAATCTGACTGAAAACAGGACAGACAGAACTAGTGGAAGCATGAGTCTGGTCTCAGGAGGGACTGTGACTAGATGGGGTGTGGGGGGGGATAGAGGGTGGGTTGGGGTGTATGTGGTGTGTGTGTGGTGTGGTGTGTGTGGTGTGTGTGTATGTGCTCTGTGTGGTGTGTGGTGTGTGTGTAGGGTGTGTGTGTGTGTGTGTGTGTGTGTGTGTGTGTGTGTGTGTGTGTGTGTGTGTGTGTGTGTGTGTGAAGGGAAGGAGGTCCTGCAGCAGCAAACTGCCCAAGGCTTCTTGAGCCTGGAGGAAGATAAAAGGTAGACACAGCTTCCTCAGTAACTGCCCCGAAAAACTAGGTGCTTTCCATTGCCTGTGATTTCCTCTCATTGGACCTTCTGCCTGGCCACAAGTCTGCTAGTTGGTACATCAGAGGTGGCAAAAAAGCTGGAGTGGATTTGTGACTCAGCCTCCTCGGGCCGAACTCTATGGTGAATATTTCTGGTTGGACACGTGGTGGGTCCCCAACAAAACTCTGCTTGCTCTATTTTAAGAGCCGTGCAGAGAGGGTCACAAGGCCAGAGAGAGAAAGACTCACTACAAGGAATGAGCCTCTGCCTCTATCTCAGCTGAGACCAGCAGACTCCACACTCAGCCTTTCTTCTGTGACCACCACAACCCGGCATGTGCAGAGCATGCAGGACCACAGGGAGCTGCTGTGGTGGTGTGCATGCAGGACCACAGGGAGCTGCTGTGGTGGTACAGCATGCAGGACCACAGGGAGCTGCTGTGGTGGTACAGCATGCAGGACCACAGGGGGCTGCTGTGGTGGTGGTGTGCATGCAGGACCACAGGGGGCTGCTGTGGTGGTGGTGTGCATGCAGGACCACAGGGAGCTGCTGTGGTGGCGTGCATGCAGGACCACAGGGAGCTGCTGTGGTGGTGGTGTGCATGCAGGACCACAGGGAGCTGCTGTGGTGGTGTGCATGCAGGACCACAGGGAGCTGCTGTGGTGGTGTGCATGCAGGACCACAGGGGGCTGCTGTGGTGGTGTGCATGCAGGACCACAGGGAGCTGCTGTGGTGGTGTGCATGCAGGACCACAGGGAGCTGCTGTGGTGGTGTGCATGCAGGACCACAGGGGCCTGCTGTGGTGGTGTGCATGCAGGACCACAGGGAGCTGCTGTGGTGGTGTGCATGCAGGACCACAGGGAGCTGCTGTGGTGGCGTGCATGCAGGACCACAGGGGCCTGCTGTGGTGGTGTGCATGCAGGACCACAGGGAGCTGCTGTGGTGGTGTGCATGCAGGACCACAGGGAGCTGCTGTGGTGGTGGTGTGCATGCAGGACCACAGGGAGCTGCTGTGGTGGTGGTGTGCATGCAGGACCACAGGGAGCTGCTGTGGTGGTGTGCATGCAGGACCACAGGGAGCTGCTGTGGTGGTGGTACAGCATGCAGGACCACAGGGAGCTGCTGTGGTGGTGGTGTGCATGCAGGACCACAGGGAGCTGCTGTGGTGGTACAGCATGCAGGATCACAGGGAGCTGCTGTGGTGGTACAGCATGCAGGACCACAGGGAGCTGCTGTGGTGGTGTGCATGCAGGACCACAGGGGCCTGCTGTGGTGGTGTGCATGCAGGACCACAGGGAGCTGCTGTGGTGGTACAGCATGCAGGACCACAGGGAGCTGCTGTGGTGGTACAGCATGCAGGACCACAGGGAGCTGCTGTGGTGGTGTGCATGCAGGACCACAGGGAGCTGCTGTGGTGGTACAGCATGCAGGACCACAGGGAGCTGCTGTGGTGGTACAGCATGCAGGATCACAGGGGGCTGCTGTGGGTGGTGGTGTGCATAGCTTATATTTTAGAGAGTACTTGAAACTGGTCAGGAGAAAGCACAGAAACGGCCACTCTGAGCAAACAGGGCAGTTTCTGTTCTTCTTCTGTGGAGTACCTCACATGCCTTGACAGCACACGGTCCCAGCTACAGACCCAGTGCTGGCTCAACAGTGAAAGGCCAGGAGAGGCCTGTCACATACGTCTACATTTAAACAGTGTGCTGGCTGCAATCAGAATGGCCCCCATAAGTTCATATATTTGAATGCTTTGTCAACAGAAAGTGGATGTGTTTCAGGAGAATTAGAAGTAGGAGGTGTGGCCTTATTGGAGGAAGTGTGTCATTGGGGTGGGCTTTGAGGCTTCAAAAGCCCATGCCAGGCCCAGTGTGTGTGTGTGTGTGTGTGTGTGTGTGTGTGTGTGTGTGTGTGTGTGTGTGTGTGTGTGTGTGTGTGTGTGTGTGTGTGTGTGTGTGTGTCTGCTGCCTGCAAACTGGGATATATTTATACAGCATTATATATTATTATATTATATATAAATCTGCACTATTTCTCCAGCACAGCACCAGAAAAAGAGAGAGAGAAAGCATGTGTGTGTGTGTGTGTGTGTGTGTGTGTGTGTGTGTGTGTGAGCACCTGCAGATCAGAATGTAGCTCTCAGCTACTTCTCCAGCATAGTACCATGCCTGCCTGCTCCCTACCATGATGACAACAGACTAAGCCTCTAAAACTGTAAGCAAGTCCCCAGTTAAACCCTCTGTAAGAGCTACCTTGGTCATGGTGTCTCTTCACAGCAACAGACTAAGACAAGCAGTCTTTGGATTTGTGCTAGGAGAGATTCTAACATATACATTCAGTAGCAGAAGCCCCACAGGCGCAGAAACCATTGATACCAGACTTGGTACAAAGTAAGATAATGGTAATTATGAATATAAATAGAAATGATTAAGAATCATGAGGCTAGCCGGGTGGTGGTGGCGCACGCCTTTAATCCCAGCACTCGGGAGGCAGAGCCAGGCGGATCTCTGTGAGTTCGAGGCCAGCCTGGGCTACCAAGTGAGTTCCAGGAAAGGCGCAAAGCTACACAGAGAAACCCTGTCTCGAAAAACCAAAAAAAAAAAAAAAAAAAAAAAAAAAAAAAAGAATCATGAGGCTGGAGAGATGGCTCAAAGGTTAAGAGCACTGGCTGCTCTTTCGGAGGACCTGGGTTCAATTCCCAGCACCCACATGGCAGCTCACAACTGTGACTCATTCCAGGAGATCCGACACCCTCACACCAATGCACATAAAATAAAATTAAATATTCTTTAAAAACAAAGAATCATGAGTATGTCTGGTGGTGGTGGTGCATACCTTTAATCCAGCACTTGGGAGGCAGAGACAGGTGGATCTACAAGTTCGAGGCCAGCCTGGTCTACAGAGTAGGCTCCAGGACAGCCAGGGCTACATAGAGAAACCCATTTCAAAACAAAACAAAACAACAACAACAACAAAAAAGAATCATGACTACATCAGAAATACCATACAGTTGTACATATTTGGAAAGTATTTCCTTTTTAAGGTTATTTTCTGGTGCATTTTCTTACTCCTGACAGGAAAGAGGCCACATGCTTCATTCTCTTCTTTGAATGATGAGAAAATAAGGTTCTTAGACACTTGCCAAGGTCACAGTCTCTAGGACTAGAACTCAGGTCTGACTCCTTGTCTAGTGTTCTTCGGCATATATAAAGCAGCTTCCTTACAGGACGAGGGGTGATTAAGAAAGGTAACCTGGTGCCCCAGGGCGAAGGAGAGCATGGAGAATGGTTCAGGCGACTGAGGCTCCAGAGCAGCCCCACTCTACTTCCCTGAAGGTACTCACCCCAAGAGCTTGCTGTGGTCCAGCTGATGGCTAGGGGGCATTCGACAAGCGCTAAAGACAATGATCTTCCGCCCATATTTATCATCACCTAAGTGTGGAGGAAGATGGATACAGTTGGTGAAAATGAACCAAAGTGGAGGGTGGGGCTTAAAAACTACCCAACCTGGGACCTGTGCCAGTGAGCGCAGGGGCTTGACTGACCTATGCCCATTATTCAAGGGCATGCTGGGTAGTCACTTCAGGGGCACTGAATTGGGACACCCCCCAAAAAAGTATTTAACCTTGCTTTTTAACCCAGTCATGGTGACACACACTTGTAAACCCACACTTTGGAGGTAGAGTCAGGAGTTCAAGACTACTTAATAGGTTCAAGGCCAGCCTAGGCTACATGAGATACAGTCTCAAAAAATAAAAAGAGCCGGGCGGTGGTGGCGCACGCCTTTAATCCCAGCACTCGGGAGGCAGAGCCAGGAGGATCTCTGTGAGTTCGAGGCCAGCCTGGACTACCAAGTGAGTTCTAGGAAAGGCGCAAAGCTACACAGAGAAACCCTGTCTCGAAAAACCAAAAAAAAAAAAAAATAAATAAAATAAAATAAAATAAAAAGAAAGCAAAACAGTAATAATAAAATCACTTTGAGGATAGATACAGTGTTGAGTGTTCAGAAGATAAATGTATGGGGATGTAACTCGGTACAGTGCCTGCTTAGCTTAGCATACAGGAAGCCCCGGGCTTGATCCCTAGTACCAAATAAACTGAAGGTGATAGTTACATCTGTAATCCCAGCACTCAGAGGTAGAAGCAGGTAGATCAGAAGTTCAAAGTTATCCTTAGCTATACTTAGATAAATTTAAGGCTAGCCTGAGATACAAGATAATCTGTATTGGGGGAGAAAAAGTATATTCATACAACAGAAGTTTGACCCTAAAAAGGAAGAAAGTACTGACATACACCACAAAATATATATGAACCTTGAAAATAAGCTAAGTGAGAGCAGCCTGGCACAAAAGGGCAGCTACTACACGATTTTGTGAGAGTCTAAGAGTGGTACTCAACTGTGGGTCATGACCTCTTTGGGGTCAAATGGCCTTTTCACAGGGGTCACATACCAGATATTCTGCATATCAGATATTTACATTACAATTCATAACAACAGCAAAATTAGTTATGAGGTAGCAACGAAAATAATTTTACGGTTGGGGGATCACCACACCATGAGGAACTGCATTAGGAAGGTTGAGAACCACTGGCCTAAAACCACAAGTCCAGAGTCGGGAGGAGGGAGGAAGGGAAAACTGCTGAACAGGTACAGAGTCTGATGTGTGTATGAATAGTAAAGGTGTTCTCTGGGAAACACTGCTGGACAGGTACAGATCTGATGTGTGTGTGAATAGTAAAGGTGTTCTCACGGGCTGGCTGATAGCTCAGTGGTTAAGACACTTGTTGCCAAACCTGATGACCTGTTTCATCCCACATGGCAGAACCCACATGGTGGAAGAAGAGAAATGATTCCTCAAAGGTGACCTCTGACCTCCATGTGTGCGCCATGGCTTGCACATACATGTGCATGCACACACAAAAAATAAATGTGATTTTGCTAAGAATTTTCTTAAGTGTTCTACTGGTGCACACCTGAAATCTCACCATGGGAGACTGAGGCAGGAAGGTGACAAAGTCACAACAGATCTTGTCTCCAAAAAAAGCCCCTTATATTCACCAAAAATATATCCATCAAGGCCTATACTATCTTGCCAACCAGACATCCTACAACTAACTGGTTTACCCCAAAGCACTGAGCAGTGAGGACCTAGAAAACCTGTAGAGGCTGCTTCTCAGCCAGCCCAAGCTACAGAGGAAAGTGGTCTGTTGCTAGACAGTGGGGTCAGCCACCCTATAACAACAATTCTGTCCACAGACACTTTCTGATTTTATTATTAGAATAGCTGACCACACTTGGCCCTGACTGAACTCTGGACACTCCTAAAAATCTTATCGTTCAGGCTGGAGAGATGGCTCTGTGGTTTAGAGAATTGGTGCTTTTCCAGAGGACCCAAGTTCAATTCCCAGCACCTGCACAGCAGCTCACAAATGTCTGTAACTCCAGTTCCAGGGAATGCAACACCCTCACACAGACCCCAATGCACATAAAAATAAATAAATAAAATTATCTTTCCCACTAAAGATATTTTGAAGAACATGGAGTACGGGGAAGTTTGTGAAGCTGTGGTAAAATTCCGCCTAGGTGCCGGGCGGTGGTGGCGCATGCCTTTAATCCCAGCACTTGGGAGGCAGAGCCAGGTGGATCTCTGTGAGTTCGAGGCCAGCCTGGGCTACCAAGTGAGTTCCAGGAAAGGTGCAAAGCTACACAGGGAAACTCTGTCTCGAGAAAAGAAATTCCGCCTAGGTGTTTTCTCTCAGAGGTATTTGTTTCAAACACTTACCATGGCAGTCTGGCCCCTGGCTGTCACAAAGCCAGAAAGCTCTTGAGACATGCTATCGCCCCAAAATGAAATGCTCTTCCAGGGTCAGCTTAGAGCAGGGGTCCTTAGGAAAGCTCAATGGTGATAAAGCCTGGTTCACATGCCCCCACGTCCTAACTTACTTCACTTTTCCAAGGACACCAAACTGTGGCTGCCTCATCCCCACTACCTCAGAGGCAGAGGAGAAGCAACCCAGGAGAGCAGAAACTCATGACACAACCCACAAAGTGCAGGGAGTTTGCCCTTCCGCTCCACTGAACAGTAAGGACTATTCTCCCTTGGTGAAGCCCATTATCCTGCTCTGTCTATGATGGAGTGTTGTGAAATATTAGTTTAAGATGCATTACATTCGTTTATGCTGTGCGATGTTTAATGGTGCAAAGATATGTTGTGTTCTTTTATGTTGCATTTGTTTAACTCTGTAAAGCTGTGTTACTGTACCTGTCTAAACACCTGATGATCTAATAAAGAGCTGAAGAGCCAATAGCTAGGCAGGAGAGAGGGATAGGCAGGGCTGCCAGGCAGAGAGAATAAACAGGAGAAATCAAGGCTCAGGAGAAGAGAAGAGGGAGGAGTGAGAAAAGGAGAAGGGGAAGGAGAGAAAGATGCCAGGGCCAGCCACCCAGCCACATAGCCAGTCACAGAGTAAAAGGAAAGAAAGATATGTAGAATAAAGGAAGGTTAAGATGCCCTGAGGCAAAATGTAGTTAAAAGGAAATGGGATGATTTCTTTTAAGATTTCTTTATTTATTATGTATACAGTGTTCTGCTCTTAACCTCCAAGTCATTTCTTCAGCCCTTTTCGTGTATGTGTCTGTTTTGTTTTGTTTTTTGGTTTTCAAGACAGGGTTTCTCTGTGTAGTTTTGGTGCCTGTCCTGGATCTCACTCTACAGACCCGGCTGGCCTTGAACTCACTGAGATCCACCTGGCTCTACTTCCCGAGTGCTGGGATTAAAGGCATGTACCACTATCGCCCAGCTGAAATGGGATAATTTAAGTTAGAAAAGCTGGCTGGAAACAAGCCAAGCTAAGGCCAAGCATTCATAAGTAAGAATAAGTCTCCATGTATTTATTGGGAGCGAGTTGACGGGCCCCCAAAGAGCAAAAAAGGAAAAAAAGCCGGGCAGTGGTGGCACACGCCTTTAATCCCAGCACTTGGGAGGCAGAGGCAGGTGGATCTCAGTGAGTTCAAGGCCTGCCTGGTCTACAAACTGAGATCCAGGACAGCCAGGACTGTTACACAAAGAAACCCTGTCCAAAAAACCAAAAAGGACCAACTACAATGGAGTCCAGGGGCTGGTCCTTTTCAAAGTGTCCCAAAGCTTCTCATTTTTCTCTAGGCTGAGGCAGAAAAAGCAGGAGGCAGCTTCTCAAGTGTGCCATGATAGCCCGGTCCCTAATGGATGAATGCCCTGACCCTAGCAGCCTTACAACCTTGACAGCTCCTGGATAAGCCTTCACCCTCCTGTCTCCACCCAAAGCATGGTCTGGCTTTGTTAGGTCCAAAAGGGCCTGGCCAGGGTGGGTCCTCCAAAGAACTTCTTGTACCAGTATCTGAGGTCCAGCCCACCAAGCCCAGAAAGCTCTATCTTGTCTCTTAATCTTTCCTAGCATCCACCTCGGGAGGATTATAAACAGCTACTGCCCCCAACTCTACTTTCACAGCACACCTTTCCCCTCAATCCCACCTTACAGAGAATCTGTAGACCTAGTCCTGTAAATAGTCCCTAAAATGGAAGCCAGACGTGACAGTACACACATGTAATCCTAACGAGAGACCAGGCGTTACACAGATTCCAGGCAGGCAGAAAGATACGGAGTGGCCATGGACAGGTAATAAAGGTGGTGAATTCCAGATAGCCAGCTTTGTCCTCACCCTCCTGACTTGAGATCAAAGCCTGGCAGCTGCAAACTGAAGGACTCGTAGGCTTCTGTCTCCCACCAGGAGCAGGCCTGCTGATGGACTGGCTCAACAAGCTCAAGGCCTCAGCAAACTTAAGAGTTGGGTGCCAATCAACCATCCTATCTGTCTCCAAACTGACCAACCCTGAATTAGGGGAGGAAGACTCTTCTTCAGTCTTAAAAAACTGAGCCTTGGAGAAGCGACTGGAATTTTCAGCTTTCCTGCTCCATCTGCTTTACAGAGGGTCTTTCCCTCTGTGTCTGCTGCATGTGTGTTTCCTCAGCCCCAATAAACATGTTGCTTCAATGGCTGATTCTGCCTGCTGCTGTCTGCAGTGTTCGATTTCTCCACTGCTATCTACTGTGCTGGAGACTTTTCCTGCCTTCTGATTCTTTAACTGGCAGAAAAAAAAAAAACAAATCTGATCAAGACCCCTAAACTATATCACTAGCACTGGGAGGTGGGAGCAAGAGAATCAGGAGTTCAAAGCAAGGATCAGCTATATAGTAAGTTCAAGGCCAGGCTGGGCTTCATGACATCCTATCTCAAGGGGAAAAAAAAATCATTACACTGGCTCACAGACTCTGAGTCTTGGCCTCAGCTCTCGGGCTGCACCACCACATCCTCTATCCCAGAAGCTCTGGTAGCGGGGTAGGCCAGGCTGTTCGTTGCTTGTATGAGACAGACCTTCCTCCGGACAGTTCTGTTCCAAACTGGCCACTAGGGACCTGGGGGACTCCCCCACATACAACTGCCTCCACCTTCCCCTAAACAGCGAGCCGGCTCTTCTCACAGCTCCCAGCACTAACAGCCCTCCCTCTGCTGTCAGTTTCTACTCTCCTGGGTAACCATGCTCCATCTCCCACCGGCTCCCAGCAGCCTGAAAGCAGGGACTGTTTCCTGTCTCTGACTCACGTCAGTCATTCAGTAAGTGTGGGTCTCCAGGTGTGCTGATATACACCTACGATCCCAGCTACTTAGAAGACCGAGGCAGGAGAGTCACTGATGCCTACCAGTTCAAGACCAGCCTGGGTAGAACAGTAAGATCCCATCTCAAGTACTCAGTGTTGGAAGCCTTCACAAAGACGCAGGTCATGACATACAGTTTCATTTCTGAACTTGTATTTGATGGTTAAGTGACAAATTAGAGTGTGGTAGGCAGTGAGTTTCCTGAAGGAATCTTTCCAAACAGAATCGTTAGCACGCATCTACATCAGCAACAGTTTTTGCTTGTTTGTTTTGTTTTTGAGACAGGCTGTGCTGTCAATAGGAGCTCAGGCTGGACTAAAACTGAAGGTCCTCGGCCTCAGCTTACTGAGTGATAGGATCAGGATTTTGTGTTTGTTTTTGTCTTCTGTTTGTATGACACAGGGTCTCATTATGCAGCTCTGGCTGTCCTGGAACTCACTATGTAGACGAGGCTGGCCTTGAACTCATAGAGATCCCCCTGCCTCTGCCTCCCAAGCACTGGGATTAAAGGTGTGCGCCACTACCCCCAGCTTCGATATTTATTACAGGTATGTGCCCACCACACCTAGGAGGCAGGTGTACTTGGAAGGCCTGGGTGCCACCAGCTCTATGGACTCTGGGGTGCTAGGGTTTTTTGGGGCCAGCTGCTGGTGGCTGGGAGCTAAGCTCCCGTCCTCATTTACTTCCATGCTGTGGGATGTTCTGTATGTCAAATGTGTTGATTAGTCAATAATTAAAACACTGATTGGCCATTGGCTAGGCAGGAAGTGTAGGCGGGGCAAGGAGGAGAATAAAGCTGGGAAGTGGAAGGCTGAGTCAGAGAGACACTGCCAGCCGCCACGAAGAGAAACAGCATGTGAAGATGCCGGTAAGCCACGAGCCATGTGGCAAGGTATAGATTTATAAAAATGGATTAATTTAAGCTGAAAGAACAGTTAGCAAGAAGCCTGCCATGGCCATACAGTTTGAAACCAATACAAGTCTCTGTGTTTACTTGGTCGGGTCTGAGCGACTGTGGGACTGGCAGGTGATAGAGATTTGTCCTGACTGTGGGCCAGGCAGGAAAACTCTAGCAACACTTCCACTTGGCTCTGTCAGGGAAAGGGAAGCAGCAGAGCATGGCAGAGACACTGACTGGCAGCCCAGCCACACAATCTCAAGTTCAGAACCCGGGGACTCCAGCAAAGAAGGGAGCCTCACCTGCCTTGTTCCATCTAAGCAGGAGGAATGCCTGGAATGCAGGAGCGAGACTGAGGCAGGAGGGTCTGGGGACCTCAAAGTCATTATGTGAAGCTCCTTCCTCTCCCAGGAATAAGGCATCTCTCACTGGCTGGAAGAGTTGAGGACTGAGCTAAGGTAGAGAGTCTGAGAGCTCTGGAATGTCAAGTGTCAGTGAGAGGCTAAGGCTGTGACCAGAAGCATGTTGTTCCACCTCTTAGCTGGCCACGGAAGTGGGGAGTAGAAACCCTTCATCCATGCTTTTGTGAATAATCCTAATAAACTCACTAGTTCATCAAGAAAGAAAGAAAGAAAGAAAGAAAGAAAGAAAGAAAGAAAGAAAGAAAGAAAGAAAGAAAGAAAGAAAGAGAAAGAAAGAGAGAAAGAAAGAAAGAAAGAAAGAAAGAAAGAAAGAAAGAAAGAAAGAAAGAAAGAAAGAAAAAGAGAGAGAGAGAAGGAGGGAGAGAGGGAAGGAAGGAAACAAACTATGTTCTACAAAATCTATTACAAAGATGGGCACTTTCTCTAGAGAAAGGAATTTACACCCTGGTGGCCCTAGGGGGGTCAAAGGGGACTATGACTAGTTAAAACCTATTTCACTGGACTGGTAGGTCTCTCTCTTTTTTTCAGATCTCTTTTATTGTTTTATTTTTCCAATACTAAGGCTGGAAACCAGGGCCTTGCACTAGGCAAGAGCTCTACCACTGAGTGCTACCCCAGTGTAAGAATGTAAGCGTCTAGGAAATGGAGGAGGGGACCCCACCCAGTGCTCAATGCTGACTGTGAGGCTGCTCTAGTCACACACACACGCTGAAAAGAGCCCAGACAGCAAGGGGCTCAAAGGATAAGTCAGGAGTTGGAAGGCAAGCATGGGGTGAGGGTCAGCAGCCCTTGGGTCCAGGCCTTGTCCTCCGTCTCCCCACAATGGGGGTCCCATCACCAAGTTTGCAAGCAAGCAGGGTAGCTGCTTCAAAAAGCACACAGGAACCCCCTCCCTGCTCTCAGAAGGGATTAGGACCGATTCTGCCCTGGAACCTCAAGAGAGATGCAGAGCTAGCAGCTGTGATGTCTCTAGGGTGCTGGGGAGAGGGCCTGATGAGGGTGTAGTAGGAAAAGCCTGAGAGCCAGGCCCTGCATTCCCCAGATACCAATCAGGGACTCTCTCAAGGTGTTAATCAGCAACAGAACAGCTTCCTTAGCAGGCTTTCTGGGTACTGCTGACCACAACCTGCAATGCAAGAACATCTACAGTGGGGCTGGGACTGAGAAAGCCCACAGTGGATGAAGACTGCTGACATTTGTTAAACATTTCTAGTGCCAGGAATCCTGCAAGCCAGTTGACATTACGTTGGAAGCCTGAAACCAGCTGTCACAGAAACTGAAAAGGTTACAAATAATGGTCTCTTTGCCTCCTTTCTGAAGAGTCTGCTTTTACCAGCACAACACTGGAAAGCCCCTACTGGGACCACGTCAAATGGGACTGAGTCCATGCCGACCACTGAAGGCAAGGACAACCGCGGCTGTGGAGGAGCTGGGAGCATCGCCTGCTCTCCCTTCCACACGGGCTCTTCCTCTGAATTCCAGGGCCAGAGACATCACCACTGGCTCTTCCAACAAGCCTGGCCAGCAAGACAGGCACGTAGGCCCCACAGCAGCATGCTGGCCAGGCCTTGTCCACACTGGGTGCTTCCTGAGGCCCAGCCCCTGGAGCTCCTTTCTCCTGGCTTCTGGACATGTCACTATGCTGCCTCCACTCTATCATGCCTCACAAACTCTGCTATTTCCTCCTTCCAAAGCCTCCAGTAGCTCCCAGCTTCTTGGAATGGATTTGCAAATAATCTTGTCCCACTGGCCTCCACCAAGAGCCTTTTCTGATTCATAGATCCAGAGGCCACAGCCAGGAGAGGCTAAGCACAAACAGCCAGAACTGATACCTACCTGGCTGGGCCCCCTCAGGCTGGCCACATTCTGGAGAACAAACAAAAAAGTGCTGCAGGGTGGTGGTCTGCTGCAAGATAAGAGGACGCCCACAGATGTGGGAGGAACAGCCCCAACCTTTCGTCTCCTGACTGGCCACAGAGTCCGGAGGCTATCGAGGTAGACATTAGACACCCAACAGACACCTCACTCAGGTTCCATTCAAGGCCCTCAACCCAGACCAAGATGAGCATCAGAAGCCCAGGCACCATGGAACGAATGCCTTAGACATTATGGCCTCTTCCAGCCCTGACAGCAAGAGCCAGCTCACTGAGGCTCCACTCCCCTGCTCCAGTCTCCTCTGGGGCTTGCCTATGAATATAAGGAGCTCCCTGAAGCAGAGACCCAAAGGGTTCCTGCACCCATTCTCAGCAGGGCAGCACGTCCACTAGAAACTTGACGATCCAGGGAACCGTGCAGCATTGTACAGTTTGAAGGAGGCTCCGCACATTCCAAACCCCCAGAAGGGAGTGACAATATCCACATCCCCGGGGACTGATAGGGGAAAGCAGATATCAGGGCAAGGGAAGGGAAGAGAGGGTATGAAGGGAAGGGCAAGGCCACTCGTTCAGAGCCAACTATGCGCTAGCTCCCAGGACGCTGACATACGAGCATCATTGTACTCCTCTCAACGACAGTGTGAGGAAGGAGTTCGGAGCGCAGAGCTGGACCAAACTCAACTTTCTAACTTCCAAGTTATTAGGGCCACAAGGCCGCCCACATTACGGCTGCAGTGGGAGACAAAGGGACCACGGGTCAGGAAGCAGTGGCAGGTGACTATATTACATGCCAGTCAAAACCAATCCAAGCTCATAAGGGAAGGCACATATGCTCAAGAGCAGACCAGAGGCTAGACACAAAATGGACCCTTTCTTGGTGGCAAAAGAGACTGGCTTCTCTAAGCCAGGAGCACAGACTATGAGGGCAGAGACACAACACTGGGCATGCTCACCTGCTACTTCCACAATCTGGTGGCGGGCGATGTCATAGTAAGGGTCATCCCACTTCAGGTGTGTGACAGGTTCTGGAGAGCTGCTTTTAGAGTCATCTGAGGAACAAGGCAAAGGCAGGGTCACCCAGGGGGGCTGACCTAGCATTTTCTCCATGGCTCATCCTCTCTGGCCTGCCCCCAGTGAACTTATATTCATGGCCATACCCTAGGGCTGGTCTCCTTGCCCCAACCTTACCCCTGGAGACTCCTCTAGCTGGAAGGGGCCTCCTCTCTGTGGCGTCTTCAGTTGCCTGAGACATTGTGCCACCCACCTGACTTGGGAAAGTCTGGCATTTCATCAGAAGGCCAGTTCTTCTCATCAATGGAGGCTAGCTTCAACTGGTTCAGAGATTGGCTGGTATCATCCAAGGTCAGATCATCTTGCAGTTCCGAGAGAGGATCCATGGCTAAGGCTGTTCCCTGCAAAAGAACCGGAAGAGAAACCTGGGTGGGAGGGGAAGAAAGGTGGTGGGTTAGCTTCTGTAACTCTTACAGTGGACCCTTTTGTCCCTTTCTTTTCTCTTCTGGCACCCTTGTGCCTATTCCTCAACAGTCCTCATCCTGCCAAGAGTTCCACAGAGCATGTGGCCAGAAAAGGCAGCTGGGGCAGTGGATGGCACAGCGCAGCACCTCCCTTCAGGTCCTCAGCTGGGCGCTAAGAGGCATGCCAGGTCCCACACTGCCCATCACGACTGACCAAGTAACGCAGTCCCAGCGGCCAAAGGCATATCCTCAGAGGTGTTAGAGTGCAGAAGCCTCACGCTCCAGCAGTTACAGAGATAGATGTCACAAGACTCTGAGGAAGCCAAGGGTCTCCAAACACCATGAAAAAGGCCAGCTGGGGCCATTCCGCTCCTCTCTCCAGGCCGGAGATGATAGGGTCCCAGGAAAACAAGGCCATGGCTGAGGTGTTCAGCTTGGTTTACCTTAGACAAAGACCAGTAGCAGGAGATGGAATCTATCTGTCAATCCCAGCAGACCCCTTGCAGGTCCCTAAGGCTCTCAGGCCCTCTCTAAACCTGTAGGGGTTCCAGACAGTGGTTTCACTGTGGCAAAGTCAACAGATTACCTAAAGGATGAGAGGGTACAGAGCGAAGAGAGGCTGCCCTTGATATCTAGAACATGGAGGTGAGGCCTTGAAGGGCAGAAGAGCTGGCAGGGAGGGAAAAGAGGCAGCATTAAAACCAGGTCTAGGATCTGGCTAAAAGAGATGGCACTTTCTGCTCTCAGCTTCATAAAAACACCTCCCTCGAGCTCACCAGATGGGTGAAGAAGGTTTCAATCCAACCCATTTGCCCAACCCCAAAGAAGAGGCTGCATTCCTGAAGCCAGAAAAAAAGACATATATGGTCAGAGAACCAGCAGGGCAAATCAGAGGAGAGAGAGGGCCTGGGGATAGGAAGAAGAGAGGCGCTGCCCGTGAGATCCACACTGGGGCCAGCAGGGTCGTGACAACCTCCCATCACCTCCCCTCCCGCACACATGACAACCTAGGGCTCTAAATGGTGAAGTCGCTCCCAGGGCCTAAGCAACAACTGCCTTGTCACCATGGCAACACACTGAGTCAGGAGGAAAACTGTTTCAAGCTTTCAAAGCCAAAGACCAAAGCTCCTTCCCTGCTCTTCCTCTCCCCGGTCCCTCGGCCTTCTCCACTAATCCAACTGGACACCGAAATACAGGTTCCTTCCTAAGAACTCAAGGGCAAACCGTTCACATTTGGGAATGCATTAATTTCTCTTGGTGAGTAAATCTGCCTTTGCCCAAAACCCAGATCTTCGCTCCCCCTTCAGCCCTCAGTCCTCCAACCAGGCAATCTTTCATCTTGAGGAATTTGCCTCTGACCCACCTACTCTCCCTGATTCAACCAGGAGGCTAGAGTGCTGCTTCTCACAGGAGCCTCTAGCTCGGTGGTTCTCAACCTGTGGGTCGAAACCCCTTTGGGGGCCAAATGACCCTTTCATAGGGGTCCCCTAAGACCATTAGAAAACATGGATATTTACATTATGATTCATAACAGTAAGAAAATTACAGTTTTGAAGTATCAATGAAAATAATCTTATGGTTGGGGTCACCACAACATGAGGAACTGTATTAAAGGGTCGCAGCATTAGGAAGGTTGAGAACCACTTGGCTCATGAAAGGGCAGATTCCAGCTCAAAACAACATCTCCCTGCCTGAGCCTTCTCTCCTTCCCCATCACTGCCCAGGTACCAGGAACTCCTTGACACCCCCACCTCACAGCAATCCAAGGGAATCTTTTTGTACACAGGAAGTACCTGGTGTGCTAGAAAAAGCATGAAGTCAAATATTGAAAAACTGGGTTAGAGTCCTGACCAAGCCAAGGACTGCAAAGATCCCGGGCAAGTACCTTTCCTGTCTGGACCTTAAATTTCCTTATCTATGAAGCGAAGGCTCCTCCCAGAAATAGAAACTCTCCAGTGTTCAGAAGCACTTGCAAGGAAGTAAACAGGATTAAAAGCAGCAGCTAGAGCTGAGCTATGTGTGAGGGAGGGATAGGGAGACTATCAAGAAGGAAGCTGAACCTGACTCTCATCTCTTTCCCAGGAACCTCTCCTGTCAGTTCTAGACCTGACCTCCTTCAACTCCCTCACAGTCTCCTTTACCAGCAAAACTAATCACAGTGGGGCCCAGCTCCCTGGTCTCTCTCACCCGCTTCCACTGCCTTCCCTGAGTCAGGGTGTTTATCTGCTGTTCAGTGGGAGATGAGGGAAGCCTGTGAAGAGAAGGGAAGTTCTAACACAAAATGATAGAAATGAAATACACTAGCCACCTGTGAGTCCTACTCCACTCTGCAAAACACTGCTTGCTCTCAGATTAACATTCCTTTTCAGCAGGTAAACCTTGACCTTTAGAAATTATCTGAAAATCACTTTAGGCAAAGGCTTTGGCTTTTGCAAAATAGTGAATCTCTCAAAAATTCTGATATCTGTGAACTTTTTCTCTTAAAAAAATGAACAGATCTGTGAAATCTTGCATGCAATTTTAAAGGCTTCACAAGCCCTCTGAGAATTATTGCTTAAGAGCCTGTTTCAAAGGCTGAGGCCACAGCTCACTTTGCCTGCACTCACAGAGAGCACTTTGCCTGCACACACAGAGCCCCAGATTCCCTCTCCAGCATAGAAAAACAAAGCAACTTATTCAGAATAAAGCCTGGCACATAGCAGATACTCTGTCATTAGCTGAATGAATGAATGATTTTCCTAAATGAAGAAGGAAACCAACATTTGTGGAAGACCAATATGCTGGGCACAAATACCTCACAACTGCACTAATAGTTCAGCATATGCTATCAAAGCCATTTACAGTTTCAGCAAAACGGGGGAGGGGGGGATATGAGCAAATTTCTAAAGGTCACAGAACCCAGAGGCAGGATTTTAATCCACGAGTACGTTTGAGGTGGTCTCTTGGTGAAAGTCAACCCCTCAACAACACTCTACTGTGACTGTCAGTCACAAATTCACAGGGTTCAAAGAGGAGCCACAAAACGGCATCCAGAACTTCTAATATCTATCGGGGCAAACAGAGACAGCAACTAGAAGTCACAGTATTCGCTGGCGTTGGAATGGGACTGTGGTGTGACTCCGAAAAAACAAAAGCCCTACATGACAGCAACTCTAAACTATAATCACGTTTGCATAGTCAAAAAACAAACAACAGATTGAACGTATGTCATTTCACAAGAAAATGAGGTGAAAGCATGACCTATCAAGTGGCAGGGTCGATCACTTCCCCCTAATTTCTCGCTCTCAGTGCTTTGCCAGAGCCTGTCAGGGAGACTTCTCCCTCCCCCGGGTTTGTTCTGTACTGGCCTATGCCTTGGAGAGGGCAGGAAGAAGTCAGAGAAAGTGGCTGTCTTCTCACTGCAGACACCGAAGCGGGGCAAAATCCCGGCAGCGGGGAGACCAAGGCCCTCAGGCCCGGTTCCACCCCCGCGCCCCTGCCTCCGAGTCTCCCCTTTAGGACCTAACCCCTTCGGATGGCCAGGGCAGCTCTTTCCCTTCCCCCACCACGCCCAGCGAGACCCCGCGCTCAGCAGCTCACCGCGCTCCGGCAAGGCTCCCTCTGCCACGCCTGTCAAAGCTCGGCAAACATCCGGCTAGGAGGAGGAACGGGGACCGCCCCCTCGGGGGGCCCCCCAGCTCCCCAGCCACTTCCGCCACATCTTCTTCCTATTTCCGGCTTGGTGCCCGGTCCAAACACGGCTTTCCGGGAGCCCCGCCCACTTCCGGCAATCACCTGCCGAAATGCCCGCCTAAGAGGTTAGACCGTAGAACTGTCCGACTCCTCGCTCCCCGCAAGAGGGTGGGTTGGACTTATTGGTTCCGCTTTTCTAGATCTGAAAACTTGCCAGCCTCAGGAATCCTAGATTCGTATCGTTCTCGGACAGAGTTTTGACCAGTACTTCCAAATTCCAAAAGGAAAGAAAGAAAGAATCTCGATGGTAGGCATCATTGGAGGATAACCATCGAGATTCTTTCTTTCCTTTTTTTTTTTTTTGATTCTGAATTCTTTCTTGAGCATAAATTTGGAAGTCAAGGACTGTTTCCTACAGGAACCGGACCAAAAAAAAACCGCTCACTTCCGGCGAAGGGGTGGTGGCGGGAGCTCTCTGATCAGGATGGAGGAGGCGGAGGAGGTGCTCTTGGGGAAGACACTGCCGCTCCGTGAGTGACCTGCGATGTCTGCGTCCCTCAGCCCTGCACTAGATGGCCCCAGCGTTTTCTAGTCAACGCCTTACCCGCACATCCCTTTTTGTCTCGATCCTGGGAGCCTGCTCCGGTGCCTTCCAAGGCTCGCGGGCTTAAGAGCCTGGACTCCTTTCTAACCTTTCAGGGGCTGGGGTAGAGCCTTGCTTATCCCCCGGACTCCTGAGGCATAGTTGACCTTGCACTTTCCTCCTGCATCTTTCCCCAACCCCACGCCCTCGTGGGCCGCTCCTTCACTGCCTTCCCGTCTCCCTGCAGCCCCCGAGCCGCGCCTGGGCCAGGACTCAGGATGGAGCTCTTCTGCAGAAGGCTTTGCTCAGGGCCTCAAAGACTTCCTCCCTGGTACGAACCCTGCCATACTTGCGCTAAAGAGTCTCCCCCAGGGCTTGGCTGTGGGCCCCTCCCGCGCCAGGAAACAGCACTTGGGGGTCTGGTGTGTCGGAGAGCCTCTTCAGCTCGGACTGCATTGGGGACCTCTGGAAGTGGACTCCGTCTTGGAGGAGAAGGGCAAGGGAGTGAAACCACCGCACGAGGAGGTATTGAAGAATAGAACGTCTCCTGTCTGAAAGTTTGAGGGAGGTTCAGACTTTCCGGACAGCTCTTCCAGTTCGTTAGAAGCAGGGTTTTTAAAGCGCTGGGAAGTCGGTTTTGTCCCTTCACTGCAGGACTGTCTTACCTTACCTAAGCTGCAGTAACTAAAGAATGCAGATGCAAAAAGTTGTGAACCGAATTCCTAGGGTGTGGACAGTGACAAAGGTCAGAAGCTAAGGTTACCAGGATCAGATCGAGCCTCATCAACTAGTTAGCTAAATCACACGCCTCTTGTTACTCGCCTGTAAAAGAAAGCAGTGGCTGTTCCAAAGATCATTTGGAAGACTGGGGGACACGATGCGAGTAAAAGGTGCATAGGAAGAATTGTTTAAAGTGATTGCTGCTTTCCGCTGGGCGTGGTGGGCACGTTGTTAGTCCCATCACTCAGGAGATAAAGGCATGTGGATCTCTGTGAGTTCGAGGCCAGCCTGATCTACAGTGTGAGTTGCAGGACAGCCAAGGCTACACAGAAATCCTGTCTTGGGGGAAAAAGGAGAGAGAGTGAGTGAGTTTCATCTTAGATTTATCCCAGAAAGGTTGCACCCAGGCTTGATTTTATTTTGTTTTGCTACTCACCCCCCCACCCACCCCGCCAAAGGCGTATGAAAAAGGCTTTTGTTATTTTGTTCTAGGACCTGTCACTAGGCTGGTCGGGAGCCATATGCACCTGGAAGCAAAGTTCAGCTTGGATCAGGTAAGTTACACAGGTGTGCATACAGATGATACTTAGCTTGGGATGGAACCTGAAACCGATTCTAGTTGTCTACCCAGGGGTCTTTTCCAGTGTGTCCTTCCAAAGATGTGGCAGCGGCGGCGGCGGGGTCAGAGGAGGCCGCGTGAAGAGGACCTGTTGAGGCAGCTCTGGATCTGTTTTGCAGTTTGGTGCAGCGATCTAGGCTGCAGAGTGATGGAAATGTGTCCTTGGTTTGGATCCACGAGAAGCTTCACCTGCAGGTGTACCAGACTGTGTTGCCAGGCTCCGAGGTGCTGCTGTGCCCACAGCCCCCCTCCAAGAGCCTAAGTGTCATGCGCCCCGGGCTAGAGGAGGAAGCAGCTGCAGTGGGGGCAGCAGGAGAGGAGTCCGCTGTACAGGAGGAAGTGGCCTCCCCCCGAGAGGATGCAGCAGAGTCTTGCACAGGTATATGCCCAGTGAACACTTGTTCAAGGTCGTGTTGGCCACATATAAGACTGAGGCCTTCTGAGCTGTATGAGACCCTGTTTCAAAACCAACAAACAAGGGCTGGCCAATGGCTGGGTTAGCAAGGTACTTATACACGATCATGAGAACCAGACTTTGGATCCCAGCATCCATGCAAAAGCTGATTGTGGGGGCTAGAGAGATGGTTCAGCAGTTAAGAGCACTGGCCATGCTGGCCGCTCTTCCAAAGGATCCAAGTTCAATTCCCAGCACCCACATGGTAGTTCACAACTGTCTGTAACTCCAGTTCCAGGGGATGTGGCATCCTCACACAGACATACATGCAGGCAAAACCCCAATGTACATTATTAAAAAAAAAAAAAAAAAAAGCACACATCTATAAATTCAACTCTTAGGCAAGAAGGGACCAAAGGTAAAAACAGGTGGTTCCCTGGGGCTCCATGGCCAGTCAGTGAGCCCCAGGTTCCATGAGAGACCCTGTGGGTTTGCCCCTCATAAACAAACCCGTACTATAAATGCCCACCCCCAGACTGTCACAAAACTGTTTGTGATAAAAAAAAAAAAAAAAGCAGTTTGTGGCTCAGCCCAGTAAAGGAGGACAGTAAAATTGTAATGAACTTTGAAAATCTGGTTTGAGCTAGAAGTGTGCTCAGTGGTAAAGTGCTTGTAACATGTGAGAGGCCCTGTGCTCAATCTCTAGTCCTCCCAAAAGAGAGAGAGAAAAGAGAAAAGGAAAGAAAACCTGGTTAAATGGATCTGGCCAAGGGCTAAGGATGTAGGTCAATGATAGAGCACTTGCCTCTCGTGCTGAAGGACTTAAGTTCAGTCCCCCACTAAGGAAAAAAAAAGCTCTGATTTTAAATAGGCCTAGGATGTGACTCAGTGGTAGAATCAGGCATACACGGAACCCTAAGAGGGGGGAATTAATGGCTCAGTAGAGCTTATGGTTGTAGAAGGGCCATGAGGACATAATAGACTTGGTTTTGTCTTTTACACTTACTTATTTGCGTGTGTGTGTGTGTGTGTGTGTGTGTGTGTGTGTGTGTGTGTGTGCATGCAGAGTTGCTACAATTCCTATTCAGGTCAGAGAGCAACTTTCAGGCATTGGGTTCTCTCTTTCCACCAGTGAAGGACCTGAGGATCAAACTCAGGTCACAGGCTTGATGGTGAGCACTTTTACCCACTGAGGTATCTCACTGGCCCAGGAGTTTTTGGACAAATGACATAAAAAGTTGGGGGCTGTAAACTCTCATTTGGTGTTTTCTGTTGGACCATGATAAGTCTTCCTTGGAATGTACAGTGTAGATTTTTGTGACTTAAGAGTTTCCTAGCCGGGCGGTGGTGGCGCACGCCTTTAATCCCAGCACTCGGGAGGCAGAGCCAGGCGGATCTCTGTGAGTTCGAGGCCAGCCTGGGCTACCAAGTGAGTCCCAGGAAAGGCGCAAAGCTACACGGAGAAACCCTGTCTCGAAAAACCAAAAAAAAAAAAGTTTCCTGGAGCTGGGCGGTGGTGGCACACCTTTAATCTCAACACTCGGGAGGCAGAAGCAGGTGAATCTCTGAGTTTGAGGTCAGCCTGGGCTACAGAGAGAGTTTCAGGACAGGCTCCAAAACTACACAGAGAAACTCTGTCTCAAAAGCACTCCCCAACACACATACACACACACACACACACACACACACAAAGAGTTTCCTGGAATGATATGATTATATTGATGAAGATAGGAAACTATACAAAGTTTCTCGTTTGTTTATTTGTTTCTTGGCATTGTTATACATTTAAAAACTTGAAATTTCCGCCAGGCGGTGGTGGCGCACGCCTTTGATCCCAGCACTTGGGAGGCAGAGTCAGGCGGATCTTTGTGAGTTCGAGGCCAGTCTGGTCTACAGAGCAAGATTCAGGAAAGGCACAAAGCTACACAGAGAAACCCTGTCTCAGGAAAAAACAAAATAAAACTTGAAATTTCCAATGGCTGTTTTGGGTTTTTTTTGGTGGGGAGGGTGTTGAGACCCTACACAGAGGGTTTCTCTGTGTAGCCCTGGCTGGCCTGGAACTTGGCGATCCACCTGGTTCTGCCTCCCAAAGCTAGGATTAAAGGTGTGTGCCATCATCACCTGGCCATCGTTAGGACATTTTTATTTTATTTATTTATTAAAATATTTTACCTAAGTTTGTGTGCCACATGTGCAGTGCTTGAGGAGTCCAGAAGAGGGCGCTGGATCCCATTGGAACTAGAGTTACCAATGGTTGTTAGCCATCATGTGGGTGATGAGAATTGAACCCTAGTCCCCTGGAAGAACAGTGTCCTTAACTGCCGAGCCATCCCTCCAGCCCCACCTTGCCCTCTTACTCCCCAGTCCTGGTCCCCTTCATCTTCCCACACAGTACCCTTCTACTTGTGTGTCTTATCCCACATTGGGGCAGGGTTTTCGTTTCACAGATGAACTCAGGTGGGGAGACGTGAGGTCCGGTCCCATGTGTGTCTCCAGTGGAGAAGAAGGAGGCCATTACTCTGGAGTGGCCTTACTCTAGGGATTAACCTGGTGACCACCTTGATGTGCCTCCCCAGAAGGATTTGAGATTGGACAGGAAAAAGAAAGTGTAGCTCTTGGTCCAGGGAAGGCACAGGTGTAGGTTTTTCCACTGAAGAATAGTCGCCCAGCAAGAAAACACGGAGTGTAATTCCCCAGTAATGCTATC